TGATTATTCAATCAAAAAAAATACTATAGTTACATTATGGAATCATTACTAAACAAATTTGTAACCGTTAAATCATTATATAACCGTCGGGGATATCTGTTGGAATTTCCATTGAAATATATTACCATAGAAATCAATGTCGGGATTTGTAACCGTTGGATCATCATATAACCGTCGGAGATAGTTGATCTAACCACTACAAGAAAATGATGAAATTCCAACGGAAATCTATTCTAAAAGAATTATTCCAACGACAATTCCAACGGATATTTCAATACTATTATTTCTGTTGGAATTTTTCAATGGATTCCAACGGAAATTCCAACAAAAATATTCCGTTGGAATGAGTTTTCCATTGGAATTTCCATTGGAGACGATTCCAACGGTAGATTTTCCAATGGGGGTGGAAATAAAAATTCCAACAGAATTTGTATATTCCAACGAAAATTCCTACGGTAAAAAGCCGTTGGAAATATAGCCATTGGAATCATCAAATTCCATCTAAAATTCCAATGAAAAACACATTCCAACGGAATATTTCCGTGGGAATTTCCGTTGGAACCATTCCAACGGAAGCTGATATGGTCCAAGATAAGAGACTTCGGTTCTTCAAAGGGTCCTCTTCGGTTTGAGTTGTGGGCTAGCTTGTTCGGTCCGGTCCGAGCATGTGAGTTCGTCGGTACCTGCAAAGCGCCGGAAATTACTCCGGCGCAAAACCCTCCGACGCCCAAGTCAATATTTTTGGAGAAGAAGAATTATGTGTATTGAATGTAAGAGTGTTGGAATTAATGAAATCTTACCTTTCCCATAGCCAATTATCCCTTTATATAGTGTTTTAATTGTACGGTTCCGTGTACCGAATCTAGTTACTAAGGGTCGAACTGGGATTAATGTTCGACCACTTACCCGCGTACTGGCATTTCATGGGTCGATTACTAGAGTGTCGGCGTTCTGTGGGTCGACACTCTTATGACGGTCATGCGAGTCGATTGTTGGGTCGACGGGTCGATACCCTTGCGTGGTTCGACCTTGACCCTTTTAGGCCTGTTGGATCCCAGTCGAGCCTTAACCGGTCGACATAGGTCGACCCTCGAGTCATTTGACCCTCCGTCTACCATATGTTCTTGAACTCGGTCGGTTCGATTTCGGGCACTGGTTATCCCTATCAGAAGCTATACCATTGGAACATCCGTTAGAATTTTCATTGAAATATATTACCATAGGATTTTGCATTGGAATATAACAATTATTTTGTAGTGAACCGATTACAAATTTCGACAGAATGATTCCGTAACGAAACCATATCATCTCCCCAATCAATCATTATATTAATATTATTGAATTTTATAATATAATATGTGAGAGGTATACGTGGTTTGGATAACTTATACCACTTAAAATTAAATATCGTAACTGATTTAATAATTTGGAATGTGGATCATAAGTCAAATTGAAATCATGGGAATGCAAGGGTTGATTATGTGATATTATATGCAAATTTTATAGGTCAAACTTGACTAATTAAATAA